TTCATTTTCTTAAGTTTCAAATTAAAGATGATTAAGAAATACGGTTTTATGTAAAGTTTCTGCTTTCTCCCAACCAGGCCTAAAGAAGAACGAACTGGGAGCAGGAACGCTTGCTCCTAGCAAACAAACACAACAAAATTATAATTAAAAATATCTTCAAGCTATCAAAATTTGTGACAGAAGAATGCAGTAGAAATTACCAAATGACAAACAAAATCCTATCAGAGTTTTCAGGTTAGTCAAAAGTAACTTCATGAATATAGCCTGCGATCAGCATATGTCCCATAGCTTATATGCCCTCTATACCTCCAGAGTTGCATAATAAACGTTTAACAATAAAACAACAATGAATATCAGGTTGTAAATATTTATATTTCTCTCACAAACAATGTTGTATGAGACATTTGTTTTAATATGTATCCATAGGATTAATACTCATATGGAGTATAATATGGAAAAGTGCAGAACTAAAGAAATAAGTCTATCTGAAAACAAAAGCACACATTTCTCACGATTTAAAAATATTGCACATAATAAGGTTGCACAGAAATTACTGGCTGGTTTTACAAACAGAATGAGGTATTAGTCAATCTCTAGATAAAGATGAGTAGCGAGAGGAGAAACTACACACACAAACACATAAATCCGTATTAAGACCTAAGAGTGCCTACAACTAAGAAAGAAATGTGAAAAGATATATAAGTAGCTATGATTTCAACACTACAAAATCACTTTTAGCCTGGGACCAAACACATGACAATCTCTTGGCAATATTTCATAAGTTTTCAACTCTTTTCCAGCCTAAATGACTATGGGCAATAAAACCATTTCCTTTACCCCAGTTCTACTGTAGAAAGGCAGAGTGCTGTGGTAAATATGAAACCATCCCTTTCTCAACCTTTCAGTAGCAATTAACCAAGATACTGTTCTCCTTTGCTGAATGACTCAATTATACAGTTTCATGTACATTCTGCAACCCAAGTCACATATGTTACAGAACATGCAACTTTCAATTAGTAAAGGTTTAACTGCAAAAATCATTAGGTTCACACAACTTAAATCTACAATAACTTTTAAAGTTTAATCAGGTAAACTCAATCTTTTCTTGGTAATGAAACTGGTGACATTAGTGAGCCCAAGGGCAGGTAGAGAAAAAGAACTAGGCAAAATAATGTGTTTTTTAAAGAAACTTTCCTAATCAGGGAAATAATTAGCATTTTGTCTACTAGTTGAATGTTGCTGAATTTGTCAAAAAAAAAAAACCTTAAATATATTTAATAGCTATATCAAATTGTTTAAAGTGAAATCATGCACTTGTCAAAATAGTTCACAGAAAATTGTTTAGCATCAAATATAATGAGGAAGAGTCAACTAGTTGGATTTAGTGAGAACAGAAAAAGAACTACTGTCCTGAACAGTCAGTGTATGTGGTAACCATATTTCCTCTTCGTTGAGTGACAGTCCTGCAGTGCTTGCTAGATCCATGAAATCTATTTTCAGTCTGTACTGTATGCCGATTGGTAGAGTCAAAACCACTAAAAGAAAACATTTTCTCCATATCTTCAAACATGTCATCAAATAATCCAGCTCCAAAAGAAAACTCTTGGAAATGATGCCTTTGTCTACTGGAACCATCCTGGCGTGTCTGGAAATGATTTTCAAAATGCTTCTTGGATCGAGTGTTTTGGTTTTGACCAAAAAAGCCGAAGTCTTTAAATAAGTCATCAAAATTGAAGTTAAATGACTGCTCAAAAGAACTTCCACTACCTCTTTGTCCTTTACCATTAGTAAAAGCAGTGTGTCCAAGTGTATCATACTCTTTTCGTCTATTAGCATCTGAGAGTGTTTCATATGCTGAAAGAGATAAAAATATTTTTAGTAACTGAAGATAAAATCTTCAAAATTACATACATTCAAATCTCTTCAAGTAAGTGAACTGAATATTATTATTTTAGGGAAGAATTTCACATCAGAAATAAAAGCAAAACACTACAAATAAAAGCATCAAGTTAATCGAACTTATAAAACAAGGTAGAAACTGTCTTATTAACTGCTGTATTATCAGCAGTTGGCACAATGCCATCTGTAATACTCAATAAATAGTTATTAAATGCTACCATTACTACAAATAAACACGTGGGCAACAATTACAGAGCTCTTTAAGCTTCATATTATTTGTGTGAAATCACTAATTGTATTAAAAAATTAAACCATCAACTATAACCAATTAATAGGAATTAAGATTTTGCACCTCCTTGCTTAAGTAAATGTTTAATTCTAACTCCCTGCTCGGTTACCTTCACCCAACAATTACTGAATGCTCAGCAGGTGCAATTTGTTCTACAGCTAGTCCGAAATCAAAATTTGTTTCAATTTTTTTTTTTAAAGACAAATACGGCTTTGAAACGCAGATCAAGTGAATAAAGCACTTTAGAGTCTAGTTTAATTTTTAAGTATTTAATGTTTAAAATGGTAAAATATTCTGTTTCATAAGTTAGTTGATAAGAATTTGGGGTACCTAAAATTCTTTTTGTCATTAGAAACAACAGTGATCTTATAAATAACATAGAACAATAGATTTTCAATATGTTTAGATATGTATACCAATAAAATTATCTATTATTCTTTCATGTATTTATTCAGGAATCAAAGCATCTGTAATAAGAAAATAATCTCAGGGAATCATGCAATATCTATACATAAATCCCACTCCACCTATCATTCTCCTTACTAGTTAATAGTCATGACACTTCAGAGATTGGCATTTATTTACCTTCTGCAATCTCCCTGAATTTTGCTTCAGCATCCGGGCTCTTATTTTTGTCAGGGTGGTACTTCATGGCCAACTTGTGAAAGGCCTTCTTGATTTGGCGCTCTGATGCCGATTTTGGCACACCTAAGATATCATAGTAGCTTTTTGAGGCCAGAATTAATTCTGTTATCATTAAAATGCAGATTGCAAAGATGAAAAGTGACTGGGGAGTAGCCATTTCTAATATCCTAAAACAGAAAAGAAGAAAAAAATGTTATGGATGGAGCTAATCTTAAAACTTTTTTCTTTTAAAAGAAATCCAACACAAGGTAAACCTAATGCAGGATCAAAATGTTAAGTATACAGTATCGTGTACCTGTTCACACATAATTTCACTTATAGTTTTATAACTCCCAAACTGGCTTAACCTTATTGAGAACAAAAATAATCCTTGGCTTTGTCCACTAATACTCTGGCCATACACAAAGGAGATAGAAAATTTTCAATAACTGATTTTTAACCAGTTTATATTGAAGATTCATCAAATGCAAGCATTGAAGAAAAAAAAAAGAAAATCAAATAAGATCCCAACCTTCCTTTCAAGAATTCATACCCTGAAAGTAATAATGTATTTAACTTCACAGAAAAAAAATTAAAAAAAAAAACGGTGGAGCACCAAGGTAAATAGCCCAGCATATGTAAATTAGTATTAATCTCTCTCTAAAAATTCAGCTTTCATTTCAACAGGTGAGCCAAGGACTGCAAGTAGAGAATCTTAATATCACAATATTAATACTGACAATACTAGAATGTTGTCTTTTTCCCAAATGTTAAGATCCCAAATGTTTAACCAGGAAGCGTGGCTAAATATTGTTTAAAACTCATGATGAACAGAATTTAAGATTTCTCCTACAGCTGCCAGAAAAATGAACTTTGATAGTTTCTACTGTGGTTAAGGCAGATTCTTACTTTCACACTTCTCAACAGTTAAAATATTTCTTACCTTTAAACCATTAAAGAAATGTTAGCTTAGAATTCTTGACAATACGTACTCAATGACTTGAGATTCAAAACGAAAGGATGGATCCTGTTTTTTTGAATACGGTACCACCAGGGTCCTTAGTAACCTATGATGCCATAACAAGGCTGACGAAAAACACTACGGTTTGTGGAAATTGCCTAGTTTCCTCTCCAGTGGCCTTTCCTAAGAGTAATTAGCAGGCAGGTAGATTACTTATTTCCAGAGAGTTACTCGTAGTCACGGGTACCAAGGATCAAGTACCACCTCTCGGTTTAAGGAACATAAACAAGAGTGTGTCCCATGGACGCTGCGTCAACTGCAGGTTGCTCCCTAGTCAAAGGGCGGATCTAAAACCGACAGGGAGGCGCCTCACTGGTTCAGTAGACGTTATTCCACGGTCTCAAGGTGGACATCTAATGATTTTTTTTTTTTTTTTGAGCTGACTAGTTTTGTATTGTACAGACTTCTCATCCCCAAGACGGCCCCGCCAGCCAGCAGCCCGTGCCTTATTCCCCAGCCTCGGTGGCCGGCTGGGCTGGACCGTCCAACCTTCACCTAAAGGCGAGGCACCTTCCCTGCCCGCCCAGGCCCCGCCGTAGAGGCTGCCTGAGAACCGGACTCTAATCCGGCGCCCGTGAAAGCCAGCGGCACAACCCAAAACACGATTCTGTGAGGCGGCTCTCTCCGTTTTTCTATTCTCTCGGCCAAAAACATGCAGTCCCTTGTCCCTGCGGCGACCGTGGCGGACACGGAGGCCAATTCAGCTCACAAAGACAGGTCTGGGCTACCATCCGAACTCCCCTCCCCACGACCCCGGCCTCGTCCCTCACCTGCACCCTCCGACTACTGCTGCTCCTCCACAGAGGCGCTGGCAACCCTGACGATCGGCTCGGGTCGGCTGCTCGGGCCCGGCCCCTCACCGCGGCCTCCCGGAGCTGACGCGCGCCCTAATCTCGGTCCAACACCGACCTAGCGCTCCTCCCTCGTCGCCGGTGCCCAGTCCCCTCTCAGCCAGCTTCTCACGGGCAGCAGGCAGCCGCTGGCGCCACCACCTCAGAAGACCTACACGAAACGCTTCCCCATTGGCTTCTGCCTCCCCACGTGACCCCGGCGCCCTACGCGCACGTGGAAAACTGTTGTTGCCGCTAGGGCTGTGCGCCACTTCCGGCCCCAACCCCCGAAAAGGCGGTGCTTAAATCGGCGGAGGCGGAAGTGAGTCGATAGACGAGGCGGCGTTCCCGGCGGATGCCAGCGCAGGCGCAGTGGCTCGAGAGGCCTGGCTCTGTGGCGCACCGTCAGTGAGGAGGGCTGCTCTGCGCCCGTCGCCGACCCGGGTTTCCCGGGGCCTCACCCGAATGATGCCCCGCTATTGCGCAGCGATTTGTTGTAAGAACCGCCGGGGACGAAACAATAAAGACCGGAAGCTGAGTTTTTATCCGTAAGTTGTCTGTGGAGCAGAAGTGTCAGCCTCGGCGTGAGGCGTTGGACCTGTGGCCTTTGGACTTGGGTGTCTCCTGTCCGCTCTGCCAGTGAGTCCTCAGCTACTCCGTACGTGGCCCGTCGCCCGCGGGAAGACGCGGGGAAGGCGCTAGTTCAGTTTACCTAGCAATGCCCTTCCTGCGCGAGGACTGCGGGCTGGTGGCGAGGCCCAGGAGCCTGTTTGGGTGTTAACAGTTAAAACAGCAAAGTTTGCGCGGGCTTCTGTGGTTTTCAGAGTCTTTTTCCCCACCTCTGGTGATCTCATTTCATTGAACAACATTAACCACCATTTTAAGATACGTGTAACCTGCGCGGTGGAAAGGTGCACGCAAAGTTAACTTACACCCCCTGCGAGTTAGGTCCCATAGGTATAATTTCATCCCACTTTTCTCCTGAGAAAACCGAGGCCCATAATGATTAGGTAACCGACCTTGAAAGTTTAGTGTCAGAGCCATTGTAGATACTCTGCAGAGAGCAAGGTTTTATTCTGTTATTCAGAATTACTAGAGCCACAATATATTTCCATGAAACTATTGAAGCACTGATTTGTATTCAGAAGTACAGAAAAGCAGTGTCGTATAATAAGTAGGGGTCCAGGCTTCAATGCTAGATCCTGGTTCCACTACTTTGTAACTTAATGACCTCTTGGAAATTAAGCTTTGGTGTCTCATATATCTCATCTATAACGCGGAGATGTTAATAGTGCTTACATGACTAATAACACATGAAAAGCAACATATTTAAAATACTGCATTTCCATTTTTTCTTGTATTTGAAAACAATTCGTTTAGATCTAACCTGGTTCAGATTTTCAGCCGTTGTTTTGTGCCCATTTTACTTTAGACCTGAAGGACTTACTCACTAATGATTCAACTGCTTTCCAGTATTTTAATTAATGGGGGGAAAAAAAAACTGATAACCCCACCAGGCGCCGTGGCTCACGCCTATAATCCCAGTACTTTGGGAGGCCGAGGCGGGCAGATCACCTGAGGTCGGGAGTTCGAGACCAGCCTGACCAACATGGAGAAACCCCTTCTCTACTAAAAATACAAAATTAGCCGGGCGTGGTGGTGCATGTCTGTGATCTCAGCTACTCGGGAGGCTGAGGCGGGAGAATCACTTGAACCGGGAGGTGGAGGCTGAGGTGAGCCGAGATCGCACCATTGCACCACAGCCTGGGCGACAAGAGCGAAACTCCGACTCGAAAACAAAACTGATAACCCCGAGTAATTCACAATCCATGGCAATATTTCCAGATTGTCTGCCTTGAAGCCCTGCCTCAAGATGCAAAGAGATGTTTGGGGGAGGAAAACAATCTAATCCACTTTCAGTTTATAGGAAAATATTACTGTACTAATGGCTCTACCTCTGAGAATGTTTGTAGCAAAAGATCATGTTGAACTTGATTTAACCTCGTATTTCCCAGATTTATTTGGCCTTTGATATTGGAGATGGGGTGTAACTCCACACTAAAATTTTTAACTAACCTTTGTGGACCTTACAGTAACTTTTTAGGAGGGAAAAAATAATGCAAGTGAATTGTAAAGATTTTTTTTCACTGAAAATGTGAATTTGGTAAAAGTGGTATTATTTCTAGGGTTTAAAAAAAAAAAAATTTGTGTGTAATCCACAAAATAAAAATTTAGTTTTATTCTCCAGTAGCGCCAAACTTGAATTGAATTTACTCATGTTAACACTACAGCAAACTGTAGTTTAAATATATATGCATTTGGGAATTCAGTTAATATAGTGTCCAGTCTGTACTGTGATTATCTTATGCTTTTGGGGGAATTACATAAGACAATGAAACAAAATTATCAAATGAATTGAACCAATATAAAGATATAATTTATTCAGGAAACATGATCAAGATTTCTTAAAGATTTACCTGTTGAGGAAGCAATACAATCCAGTTACCAATAAGGATATTCACAAAGTATTTTTTTAATGAGTTGATAACTTAGCATATAGGTATAATGGAAATAATGTGCAAACAGCATCCATATACATGAATTTACAGTAAAAAGCATTATTGTAAAAGGCCTATATCATTTCAGTTGTGACAAGAGAAATGAATTTACCAATGGCCAGAAGTAGTCAGGTCCTCTAAAAGAAAATTTGTTTGCCTTTAAAATTCCTTTTCTGGTTATACGTGTCATACTTAAAACCTAATATTTGTAAAGTTAAAGTATTTTTAAAACATGATTAATATTGTTTCTGTGGTTAGAATTTCCAAAGGTAGTTTATCTGATTTTTTCCATATGAGGATATCAGGATTAAAAAAAAGAGTACCCAGACTTTCCGTGGCATCTTAAAAAGTTAACAGAATTTAAGGGGGAAAAAAATGATGCTACTACAAAACATAAGCTAAATGTTTGGGATTGGGGGAAGGGAATGTATAACAGCTACATTTTATATGAGAAACCTTATATTATTACTATTCTTATAAACAGGAAATTATGTGGTGTCTTGGACTGTGTTCTTGGAAAATTATCAAATGAAATATAAACCATTTTCAAATACTGTTTTGTATACTTTGACCCAAACCTTTTTAGATTGATAGGAAAAATTTTCTATCAAATTCTGCCATACATTGTAATGTTAGCACCAACTCTAAATCCAGGTTATTGTCAGGTACAGGAACAAAATGTATACAGTGCTGTCTTGCCATTTGTATTTGATTTGTTTTATGTAAAATATCTGAGACTGTCCCTTTTAACATGTTTCATTCTTGTATCAGAGTTTCTCCTTCAGAACTTGAATTTTGGAGTTCCCAGTTCATTAGTTATAGAAGTGTAGTACTATTAGACTGGATTACATATAGATAGAATTAAAGCTGATGCTAGTAAAGAGAATATTTTCAGTACTCTTTCAGCTGAATCATTTGTTTGAAATCATTTGTTTGAACAATCTACTTATTTTTTAAATATTAACATAAATTGTAAAGCTTAATGCTGCCTTGAATTGTAGACAACAAGCCATTTGACTTGAGGTGGTATTATGAAATACATTTGAACAGGAATTTATAATTTATACAAAGCTCTTTTCTAGTTCTAGGCAAACTGTACAGCAATATAAAAATGGAACATAATCCATAGAAAATACAAATAGATTTTGTCCTTTATAGGAACACATATATTTTACTTGAAGAGACTCTGAATTATGTTCAGCTCTTACCAGATAAGAGCCTTGGCTACATGTCTTACACCTTAGGCCTCTTACTGCAGAGATGATAATGGTACTAGTTGTGATGAAGATACTCTTATTTGGTAGGGATGGTTGCCTTCCTCTTGTAGCACTTACTTGATGCATAGGTTACCCAGATATATGGGGTTGGAATTTGGCAAAGTTGTAAAAATATAGCAAAGTTTTCCTTTTTTTCTTCTTTTTTTTTTAAATTCCAGATTTCCTCTACATGACAAAGAAAGACTGGAAAAGTGGTTAAAGAATATGAAGCGAGATTCATGGGTTCCCAGTAAATACCAGTTTCTATGTAGTGACCATTTTACTCCTGACTCTCTTGACATCAGATGGGGTATTCGATATTTAAAACAAACTGCAGTTCCAACAATATTTTCTTTGCCTGAAGACAATCAGGTATTGCAGTATGGGAGAGGGGTAATGCTGAGCAGAGTGGCAGATTGCAGGGTGGCAGGTGATCAGGTGGGAGAGTAGGAGGGAACTATAACTTGGGTAAGCAGATACTTGCAAAAAAGGGAGCACTAACTTGTGCTTTTACTAAAAGTGATAATTTAAAAAAAATTGAAGTCATGAAGCACAGCTTAAGAGAAGCAAGAGATATACATTATTAAGTTATTAACACAAGTTCATGAGTTTTATTTTTTATACTTTCTTTTTGGTGTGTGTGAGACAAGGTCTCATTCTCTCACCCTGGCTGGAGTGCAGTGGCACGATTTCAGCTCACTGCAACCTCTGCCTCCCAGGTTCAAGCCATTCTCTTGCCTCAGCCTCCTGAGTAGCTGGGATTACAGGCGCCTGCCACCATGCCTGGCTAATTTTTGTATTTTTAGTAGGGATGGGGGTTTCACCATGTTAGCCAGGCTGGTCTTGAACTCCTGACCTCAGGTGATCTGCCCGCCTTGGCCTCCCAATATACTAGTCTTTTGAATGATCTCAAATGTTTCTGTCGTATATTGAATGGGATTAATGTTTTTTAGAAAACACTTTAAGGTGTATGTACTTAGAACTTTTTTTTTTGTTAACTAAATTGCTTGGCCTTGTAGTGCTCAAAATTATAATTAAATAGCACTAGCATAATAAGCCAGTAAAGGTCTTCTTTTTCAGAACATGAAAATATTATTTTCTAGGGAAAAGACCCTTCTAAAAAAAAATCCCAGAAGAAAAACTTGGAAGATGAGAAAGAAGTATGCCCAAAAGCCAAGTCAGAAGAATCATTTGTATTAAATGAGACAAAGAAAAATATAGTTAACACAAATGTGCCCCCTCAACATCCAGAATTACTTCATTCATCTTCCTTGGTAAAGCCACCAGCTCCCAAAACAGGAAGTATACAAAATAACATGTTAACTCTTAATCTAGTTAAACAACATACTGGGAAACCAGAATCTACCTTGGAAACATCAGTTTACCAAGATACAGGTATAGGTGATTTTCACACATGTTTTGAGGATCTGAATTCTACAACCATTACTTTGACAACTTCAAATTCAGAAAGTATTCATCAATCTTTGGAAACCCAAGACGTTCTTGAAGTAACTACCAATCATCTTGCTAATCCAAACTTCACAAGTAATTCCATGGAAATAAAGTCAGCACAGGAAAATCCGTTCTTATTCAGCACAATTAATCAAACAGTTGAAGAATTAAATACAAGTAAAGAATCTGTTATTGCCATTTTTGTACCTGCAGAAAATTCTAAACCTTCAATTAATTCTTTTATATCTACCCAAAAAGAAACTATGGAAATGGAAGACATAGACATCGAAGACGCCTTGTATAAGGATGTAGACTATGGGACGGAAGTTTTACAAATCGAACATTCTTACTGCAGACAAGATATAAATAAGGAACATCTTTGGCAGAAAGTCTCTAAGCTACATTCAAAGATAACTCTTCTAGAGTTAAAAGAGCAACAAACTCTAGGTAGACTGAAGTCTTTGGAAGCTCTTGTAAGGCAGTTAAAGCAGGAAAACTGGCTATCTGAAGAAAATGTCAAGATTATAGAAAACCATTTTACAACATATGAAGTCACTATGATATAGAATAACTAGGTTTTAAAACTATGACTGTTAAATAAGCTTTTTCCAGCCAAAGCAAACTACATGTAAACTTTTTCCTGTATAAAGTTCTCATCTTAATGAACCTATGACAGTGTTGTAAAGTTATGAACTGTATCCTATTCTTGTAATGCTCATTTAAGAAAAACAGAGTTGGGCTGGAAAGAAAAGCAGTTTTATTACTTGATACTTTTCCAAATTAAAACTTAGCACATAAAAGGATTCAGTTATAACATGAGAAAACAAAGAAGTGGTCAAAGAGCACAGATTAGAAGTCAGGTTCAGGAATCAGTCCTGGGTCTACCACTGGCATATGACTTGGGCAAGTTACTTACGATTGTGCCTCAGTCCCTAATTTGTAAAATAAGCACTTACAGATTTCTGATTGGTTCTTTATAGAGCCTTCCCTTTTTATTAAGATACTTCTATTAGAACACATTTTCTATAAGATAATGCATACTTAATACTAGAAGTTGGCTAGAATTTGATGATATTAACTATGTATTATTTTCAATATTTATTGAATTCTGTAGTGTTTGACCTTTTGGCTGTAGTTATATATTACAGTTATATATCTGTAATAGAAAGGAAGATAAAACTTTTTTTTTTTTTAGATGGAGAGATGGAGTCTCACTCTGTAACCCAGGCTAGAGTGCCATGGCCCGATCTCAGCTCACTGCAGCCTCTGCCTCCCGGGTTGAAGTGATTCTCCTGCCTCAGCCTCCCGAGTAGCTGGGATTACAGGTGCACACAACCACATCCGGCTTATTTCTGTATTTTTAGTCGAAACGGGGTTTCACCATGTTGGCCTGGCTGGTCTTGAACTCCTGACCCCAGGTGATCCACCTGCCTCAGCCTCCCAAAGTGCTGGGATTATAGGCATGAGCTACTGCGCCTGGCCAAGATAGAACTTTTATAATTTTATGCCAGTTGAACTAAAGGAACCACCCATTAGCCCAGTTCTTAGGAGAGGTACTTCAAACTTGAAAGAGTATGTATTTCAGTAACTTATATGTGGCTAACCATCAAATACATAGTCATCTAAGCTTCTAAATGTTCTGTATGTATACAGTTATATTTATAAACCAAAAATTTTAATGAGGTTAATTTTAAATATAAGTATATTTTAGAAATCACAGTTTGTATCTGTTTCTTAGTAGGTGTGGCTTTTAAAATATGTGCTTGTTCATTGTTAAATTCCAGAATAATAAGGAAAGAGAAGTGATGGTAATGTAAATAAAAATGCTGTTTATATTCACATGATTTTAAGAAAACTGTAAAAGCAAAGACTGTAGTAATGACACAAATATGACAAATAGATGTTTTCTTAAAATTGGCAGTCAGTATAATTATGTTTCTGCCTATGATATTGAGGAAGTTCTATCAGTCTGATTCTTAAGTTTTCTCATCTGTTAAGTAGAAGATACTATTACTTACCTTAAAGGGTGGCTTTAAGAATTTTGTAAGGAACAAACATGTTTTTGGTTCTGGAATATAGGAGGTGCTCAATAAAAGTTGATGCTGAATGGCAAATAATATTCTAATTGTTTTGTAAATGCATGATGATTATTTTTGGCCATATTTGACTTAGTTTAATTAGGCTAATATTAATTGGTACTGTATGAAAGTGTGTCAGCTAATTATAAAAAATTAGAAGTGTCTTAGGTGACGATGGGGGAGAAAACTTAAAATCTTCGTGTAAATTATGGGTAGATAATTGATAGAGTTAATACAGTGTTATTAAGTATTCCCATGTTGTGTTTTGCGAATACTTAATTTAAAATAATACAGATGAAAATAATCTTGAGTCATAATAAAGAAATGATATATTAACTTAAGTTTCAACATGTACATTGTAGTAATTTTCTGTTTAAAGTTACAGGTTCCTCAGGAAAAAAACTTAAACTAGCTGTATTTCTTTAATAAATTATAAGTAAAGGTTGACTATCTCTTCTCTGAAAATCCAAAATGCTCCAAAATCTGAAACTTTTTGAGCACGAACATAACATGCAAAGGAAATGCTCACTAGGGCATTTCAGTCTTCAGATTTTTGAATTGGGGATGCTCAGCTGTTAAGTGTACTGCAGATATTTCAAAATCTGAAAAACAGTACCCTTTCTGTATTCATGTCCATCCTTACTCTGATTATCTGGACCGTAGTAATCATTCTCCGGTAAAACTTTCAACAACATTGCTCTTTTGCCTATTGTTCTCACTTGCCTAAACTACATTCCTGGTTGAGTTCAAATATCTCTTTGCCTTTTCTCTTCCTACATCAGAAGAGCTGGTAGAAATAGAAAAAAAAATCACATGATTGGACAGACTTGATTATAGATTCATGACCACAAATCAGAGGAGCCCAGCAGTGTTACTGTATTTTTCTAGCAAGTTCATAACCCCACTCTCAAATTCCCTCTCTCACTCCTTCCTTCCTTTCCTGACTCTCCTTCCCACTTGCCCAAGATGAGGATTTCATCACATGCTTCATTTAGAAAATCAAAACAATCATTAGCTCATCCTGTCTCTTACAAGGTCATTAATGGTCTTAAAACTAAAAACCAAAAATTATTTTTATTCCTGTATTTATTCGTTGAGGCCTAATGGATACAGGGTACAGTATTTATTGCTGCCCACATCAGAATGAAAAAAAAATTGTCATTTCACAGTAATTTGTTTCTGTGGAAACCCACAATCATCCATGTAAAGGAATGGGCTGATGAAATTCAATACTTGTCACCTGAGGCAACAAATTTGTTCCTAAAACATACATTCTAAAATTGAAAGATTTCCTAGGATTTGGAGTAAGAAAGTCTTCAGAAATTTGTGAACCTCCTAAAAACTACAGTGAATAGTCCTCAAAATCTGAATGAAAGAAAGTAAGGGTAAATGAGATGGATGAAAGGGAAGAAATATGGATGAAAGGATTGATGGATAGATGGGTGTGTTTAGGCTCCACCTTCTTGTTTAACAACTGTTCTTTCCTAGGTAGTAGCTAGAGTTCAAGTCTGAACAAAATCCAGTGAGGATTCTACAATCCCGTCAACCTAAAGGAGCAGAATGGGAAATCTTGTGAACTGAATCTGGATTCCTCACCCCATCTCAGTAAATAAGATACCCTAATTACTAAAAGACCCTCATCTGGTACAGATGTGTATCTGAGACAAGTCTCAATTAAGAAAGTTTATTTTGCCAAGGTTAAGGATGTGCCCTTGACACAGCCTCAGGAGGCGCTGATGGCATATGCCGGAGGTGATTGGGGTACAGCTTGCTTTTATACATTTTAGGGAGACATGAGACATCAATATGTGTAAGATGTACATTGATTTGGTCTGGAAAAGCTGAGCAAGTCAAAGCGGGGCTTCCAGGTCAAAAGTAGGTAAGAGAAAAAAGGCTGCATTCTTTTGAGTACTTGATCAGCCTCCTGCTGAATACATAATTTAACCTGGCTCAGTGAATCTGCATTTTTACATAAACAGCAGGGCAGGGGAAGCAATCAGATATGCAGGTGTCAGGTGAACCTCAGAGGGATGACTGAGTTCTGTCTGTCCTTTGCTACAAGGAATTTCCTTGTTGGCAAATTGTGAGGGAGGCATATAGCTCTTTATCATTGTGACTGTCTTATTTAGGAATAAAATGGGAGGCAGGTTTGCCTGACATAGTTCCCAGATTGACTTTTCCTTGGCTTAGTGATTTGGGGGTCCTGAGATTTTCCTTTCCCAGATATCAAGAACCAAGTCAGTGTTTGGATCTGCTTATCACTAAATCCAGATTTTTGAATGATAAAAATAATACTGGCCAGTTGCAGTGGCTCATAACTGTTAGATCTAACCTGGTTCAGATTTTCCCAGCACTTTGGGAGGCCCAGGTAGACAGATTGCTTGAACTTTGGAGTTAAAGACTAGCCTGGGCAACATGGCGAAAGCCTGTCTCTGCCAAAAAAAAAAAAAAAAAAATAGCCAGGCATGGTGGTGTGTGCCTGTATTCCCAGCTATGTAGAAGTCTGAGATGGAAGGATTGCTTGAGCTCAGGAGGTAGAGGCTACAATGGGCTGAGGTCGTGCCACTGCATTCCAACCTGGGCACGAAAGTGAGACCCTGTCTTAAAAAAAAAAAAAGACAAATGGTATGTTGTTTTCTAATTTAGAATGTGTTTCATTCTCATCACTACCATGGCACATGCCTAAGGTTGCAGTCAGTGACCAAAGCAACACTTTAATAATGCAAGAGAGGATTTGAGTTAGGGTTCTTTTGGTTACAAGGAACAGAAATTCAATCCAGCTCAAGAAAGGAAACAGGGAAGAACAGAACTGAAAGGCCCAAACTAGGGTCTCAGGAATTCAAACACAAGTTGCAGTACAGGCAGGCACAGTGGCTCACACCTGTAATCCCAACACTCTCAGGGGCCAACGCAGGAGGATCACCTGAGGCCAAGAGTTTGAGACCAGACTGGGCAACATAGTGAGACCCGATATCTACAAAAAATTTAAAAATTAGCTGGGCATGGTGGTTTGTGCTTTTAGTCCCAGTTACTCGGGAGGCTGAAGTGGGAGGATCTCTTGAGCCTAGGAGGTCAAGGCTGCAGTGAGCCATGACTGCGCCACTGCATGCCAGCCTGGGCAACAGAGTGAGACCCTGTCAAAAAAAGTTGCAGTACAGTTGTGCCCCATAGTAATTGGTTCTGGAAGACATCTGGAAAAGAGGCTCCCTCATGTCAACTGCTTCCTGAATGGCATCTGTTTCATATTCTCTCTCCCAGCCAAACCTTATAATCTCAGTGTACAAATAGGCCCCTAAGTTTCTCAACATTATGAATCTTCAGCTTTCTCTGTTAATTAGCTCAGTCATTCAATTTTCTAATTCCAGATTTCCAAAAGAGGGATCCAACTGACCTTGCATATTTTTTTAAGCCAGTGGGTCTCTAGTAAACCGGTGAGTTGGCATCCTTTGGGTCCTGTCTTACAGGCTGCAGTTGCATCCAGTGACTAGGATGGGGAAGGGTATAGAACATGGTATGGAACCGACTCATCTACCTCAGTAAAGCCTTGAAAAGGAGCAATTTCCCTTTGAAAAAGAGGTTGTGGGTGAGCAAGCAGGTAACTGCTTTAGTGCTGTGCTGCTGTAAAATATGAACAATATGAGAATGACATCATTTGTATATCATTCTCTCCTTTGCAAACAAGGTCCTTCATGCCTTTCCTTGAGCTTAGAACTCAAGAAGTGGCCTGCTAAGCCATTTCCCTGTCTCCAGAGAAAGTAAGAACCAGGCAGTACTGTACAAGATAACATGTAATCTTACAAAGAGAGTAGGTTTAAAGCTAATTTGAACTAATAGTTTTAACGTAATAAATTTAGAGCTATTCACATCCCCAATTTTGAAATAACCTGAAGACATTAATATGAAACTATACATATTTAATGTTTTAATAAAAGAAGCTCTAAAATAGTGATATGGTTTGGCTTTGCGTCCCCACCTAAATTTCATCTCAAATTGTAATCCCCAGGTGTTGAGGGAGGGACTTGGTGGGAGCTGATTGGATCATGGGGGCAGTTTTCCCCATGCTGTTCTCGTGATCATGAGTTCTCATGAGATCTGATGATTTTTATAAGGGGCTCTTCCACCTACTCTCACTCACTCTCTCTCCTGCCACCATGTAAAATGTGCCAGCTTCCCCTTATGCCATGATTGTAAGTTTCCTGAGACCTCTGTAGCCATGCGGAACTGTGAGCCAATTATACCTCTTTTCCTTAGTCTCAGATATTTCTTTACAGCAGTGTGAGAATGGACTGATACAAATAGTAATCTCACTTCATTCACAATATCTTTCGTAGAAACCTTAAGGAGAAGGAACAATACATCATTAATCTGTTAGCACATCAGTTATTTGGTTCCAAGGTTCAGGTTTTTACTAGTGTTTGTGGTATATATACGAATAGTATGCAATGTCTAATTAAATTCGGTGACCCTTTGTTCTCCTGCATCACTAGCAAATGTATTCATTTATTTACTCTCTCCATAGAGACTGCACCTTCTGTATAATAAGAGAAACACTCTCATATTTTCATGCTAGAAAGAAGTCATTCTCTAAAGCAAACATTCTTATTCAGACTTTCATTCTCTGTCTTTGACTCCCTCTAGCTCCCACACCCTATGTTAAGGGCCTCCAGCCTGCCCTGCATCCCAGAGCTTTTGGCTGTGATATTGACTCAATCTTATGTATCTATGCTGTAACTTTTACCAAAGTGTTAGCTTTTCTATCCATGACTGTATTTATCTGTGTTTTGTTCCCCCTTTAAGCATTGTGATACAGCACTGTATTTTTGTCAGTGTTACAAACATTTCAGAAGGGCTAGATAGCATACATTCAGGTAATAGAAACGATGAGTATTTCACTATAGCAAATGGAACTGACAGATCTTAAATGTATTTTAAATGTTCTTATAGATGTCTTTTAAACTATATTTTAACATAAGCAAGCAAAATATGTTGGGTAAATTCTTAACATGTTATTCCCTTTACTTTTTAATAACATATTACCTAAGAGGATAAAAATATTAAAACTACTTTTTATTTCATGATAACCACACAGCTATGCTATATCAGTGAATACACATTTAGATATTTCTGTATATTTGAAATAGAGATTACAATAATATTTAAAAGAAAATACAAGATTAAAAAATTAGAGGCCAGGCGTGGTGGCTCATGCCTGTAATCACAGAACTTTGGGAGGCCGAGGCTGGCAGATCATGAGGTCAGGAGTTCAAGACCAGCCTGACCAACATGGTGAAACCTCGTCTCTACTAAAAATACAAATATTAGCCAAGTATGGTGGCGCATGCCTGTAATCGTAGATACTCAGGAGGCTGAGGAAGCAGAATTGCTTGAACCTGGGAGGCGGCGGTCATAGTGAGCCCAGATCGCACTACTGCACTCCAGCCTGGGCAACAGAGCAAGACTCTGTCTCAAAAAAAGAAAAATATGTACATAAAACTATCTACAAGTGGCCCTTAAAAAGGCAGGAAAGTTTTATTGATTAATAAAGTGGATTTTTCAAGATTTGCTAGGTTGAAAGTGACATGGGTTTTGCCCTTAAAAGAACTTAAATATGATTTTCATTTTAGACATTTGATGTGGTTTGACTCTGACCCCACCCAAATCTCATGCCAAATTGTAATCCCCATGTGTTGGAGGAAGGGTGGTCTGGTGGGACATGACTGAATCATGGGGAAGACTTTCCCCTTTCTATTCTTGTAGTAGTGAATGAGTTTCCACGAGATGTGGTTTTTTACAAATGTGTAGCACTTGCTGCTTCACTCACTCTCTCCCACTCCACTAAGTGAAGAAGGTACTTGCTTCCCTTTCGCCTTTCCACCATTACTGTATAAGTTTCCAGAGTACTTCCCAACCATGATTCCTGTACAGCCCATGGAATTGTTAGTCAAATAAACCTCTTTTCTTCAGAAATTAACAAGTCTTAAGTAGTTCTTTATAGCAGTGTGAGAACGGACTAATTCAGAAAATTGGTACCAGGAGTGGGGTATTGCTATAAAGATATGTGAAAATGTGGAAGCAGCTTTGGAACTGGGTAAGGGGCAAAGATTGGAACAGTTTGCAGGGCTCAGATGAAGATAGGAAAATGAGGGAAAGTTTAGAACTTCCTAGAGACTTGTTGAATGGTTGTGACCAAAATGCTAATATGATATGGACAGTGAAGTCCAGGCTGAGGAGGTCTGATGGAGATGGGGAATTTATTGGGAACGGGAGTAAAGGTCACTCTTGCTATGCTTTAGCAGAGAGACTGGTGGCGTTGTGCCCCTGCTCTAGGGATCTGTCGAAATTTGAAGTTGAGAGAGATGGGTTAGGGTATCTGGCAGAAGAAATTTCTAAGTAGCAAAGCATTCAAAATGTGACCTGGCTTCTTCTAACAGCATATACTCAGGCATGAACAAAGAGATTGCCTGAAACTAGAACTTATATTTAAAAAGGAAGCAGAGCATAAACATTGGGAAAATTGCAACCTGGACATGTGGTACAAAAGAAAAACGCATTTTCTGGGGAGGAATTAAAGGCTGCAGAAATTTGCATAAGTGAAGAAGAATCAAATGTTAAT